ATTCGGAGAAGAATTTTAGTTAAATATTCCAGAAAATGATTAAATTGAAATTTAAAAAATAATTTTGCTGAAAATATGTTTCTTTCTAATTGTGGACCAGCGAAAAGTGGAGACAATAAATTTTGTGGCTTAGAGATGTGAATTTAGTTACTTTAAGTTTAAGCAGCTTGACGATTGACAAGAGCTGCCGTGAATTGTCTGAAAATCGATAAGATAGCTTCCATTGAAATGAAGCAGTCAAGGCAGAAGGAAGCAATGGTTTCGAGTATATATATGAAATTGGCGTGGAAATCTGTTCAAAACCAGAGAGTTGGAGAAGTTTGTAGTTGTACAAGTTGGGGAGAGTTGCACAACAAGGGAAACGTTGGATAAAGTTAAAATTTAAAGACTGTTCTTGTTTCTATTGCTTCTTTACTGAATTTTTGTAAAGTACCGTCAAATATATTTTTTACATTCTCATCACATGAATCAGGAAATTCAGGGAAAAGTCGGGGAATTTTTTTTTTTTGTTAAAGTACTAGAAAAATTAAATTTTTCGGAAAAGTTGCAGAAATTTAATTATTTTCAAAAGTAATAAAATTCTTCGCAAAAATTCAATATTTAATGATATAAATAATTATATTTATAATTATTCAATTACGTTCAAATTTTTTTTTAAATTCTCGTCAAAATTTCAATTATCTTTAAAAATAATAAAATTCTTCTTCAAAATTCAATTATAATTTTAATAAAATTCTTGGTATTTCAATTATTTTCCAAACATTTCCTCAACTCAATGATTTTCAATATTTACTATTTTAATAAAATTTTTCAAAAGAATTCAATTATTTAAAAAAAAAAATGTTGATAAACTTCTAAGCAAACGTTAAATTATTTTCATAAATAATAAAAATTTTACAGAAAATTCAACTATTTACAAATTTTTTATAAATTTTCTTCGTAATAATTCAATTATTTTCATAAATAATATAATTTTTTACAGAGATTCAATTATTTTGTCATGAATACTTAATAAAACTCATGACAGCATTTCAATTATTTTTAATACAATTTTAATCGAATTCGTCGAAAAATGTAATTATTTCGGAAATTTTTATTAAAATTCGTCGACAGAATTCAATTATTTTGATAAAATTCTTTATGAGAATTCAATTTTAAGAAATATTCATTTGTGCAATAAATTATTTATTTTTGGATTTAAATAATTGAATTCTCGTTGAATTTTCTAATAAAAATTGATTTAAAAATAAATTTCAGTCAAAATTGTAAATAATAATTAAATAATTGGATTTTGAAATGGTTTCAAATAAAAATATTTGGAAATTTGAATTTTTCATACTTTTAACTGAAAATTCTGTAGAATTAATTATTTTGAAAAAGTTATATTGAATTTTTTTAAAAATTATTTCAAATTTTTCAAAGGTATCACTCTCCCTTAAAATTGTTGATAATAATTGAATATTAAAAGCAATTTAGCGTGAATTTTTAGAAATAATTGAATTTTGAAAAGGTTTTATATTTAAAATCGTTGAAAATCTGAATTTTTCATAATTTTAACTAGGTAACAATTTTGTGGAATTAATTTTTTTTTAAAAAGTTCAATTCAATTTTTTTTGAAATTATTTAAAGTTTTTATTTTCTAAATATTTAATTGAAGAATTTCTGAATAATCGTAATTTCGTAAAATTGAATTGTAAACACAAATGTATTTAGAAATTCTCAAGGAACTTTTGCATTTTGTGAAGAATTTTATTATTTTGAAAAATAATTAAATTCTTCCAAAGAATTTTTATTACATTTTGTTTTAAATAATTAAAACCCTGTGAAAAATTCTATTATTTATGAAAATAATTGAATGCTTGCAACGAATTTTATTAAATTTTTGTCAAATAATTGAATTCTTGCGACAAATTTTTCAAAATAATTACATTTTTCGAGTAATTTATTTAAAATTGTATTAAAAATAATTGAAATCCTGTAAAGAATTTTATTATATTTATGAAAAATATTCAATTCTTGTTACGAATTTTATAATATTTTTTAAAAAATAATAGAATTCTTTTTGAGAAATTTTATTAAAATAGTAGATTTAAAAAATATTTGAATTACAACGAAGAATTTCATTATTTGTGAATTTATTTAAAATTGTATAAAAAATAATTGAAATCCTATGAAAAATTTTATTATTTATGAAAATAATTGAATTTTTGCAACGAATTTTATTAATTTTTTTCTTAAATAATTGAATTCTTTTGAGAAATTTTATTGAAATAGTAGATTTTAACAATATTTGAATTTAAGCGAAGATTTCATTATTTGTTAATTTATTTAAAATCGGATTAAAAATAATTTAAATCCTGTGAAGAATTTCATTTTTTGGAAAAATAACAATAATTTTTTTGAATATGTAATTACATTTTTCGAAGAATTTACTTAAAATAGTATTAAAAATAATTGAAATTCTGAGAAGAATTTTTTTATTTAGAAAAATAATTGAATTTTTGCATTGGATTTTCATGTGAAAAAATTTTATTATTTGTAAAAAATAATTGAATTTCTGCAAAGGATGTTTTAAAAATTTTTGTAAATAATTTTTTTTTTTTTTTTTGAAAAATTGTATGGTAAATTATTAAATTTCAATTATTTTCAAAAAATTTTTCCCAATTCAATGATTTTCAATATCTACAGTTTTAATAAAATTTTTCAAAAGAATTCAATTATTTAAAAAAAAAATTTTGATAAAATTCTAAGCAAACTTCGCAGTAATTCAATTATTTTCATAAATAATAACAGTTTTTACAAAAATTCAATTATTTTCATGAATAATAAAATTCATCATAGAATTTCAATTATTTTTAATACAATTTTAATTGAATTCCTCGAAAAATTTCATTATTCTTGAAAATTTTATTAAAATTTCTCGAAAAAATTCAAATTTGTTGATAAAATTCTTTATAATAATTTAGTTTTGAAAAACATTTATTTATTGAATAAATTATTTATTTTTGTATTTAAATAATTGAATTATTGTAGAATTTTTCAATAAAAATTGATTTGAAAATGAATATTATTAGTTAAAATTTTAGATAATAATTGAATATTAAAAGCATTATAGCATGAATGTTTAAAAATACATAATTGAATTCTTTCGAAGAATTTTAACAAAATTTTTGAAAATAGTGACATTTTTCGAAGAATTTACTTAAAATTGTATTAAAAATAATTGAAATCCTGTGAAGAATTTTATTAACTTATGAAAGTAATTGAATTTTTTTCAATTTTTTTTTTAATAATTGAAATAATGTTAAGAATCTTATTATTTATGAAATTAATTTAATTCCTGTATCGAATTTTATTAAATTATATTCTTTTGAAAACTTGTATTAAAAATGTAAGTTGTGAAAATTTTCGAATTTCAGCGAAGAATTTCATTATTTTTGTAAAATGTATCTAGTTTAATTCTTGCAAAAAATTTTTGAAGATAATTTTATTTTTCGAGAAATTTATTTAAAATTGTATTAAAAATAATTGAAATCATGTGAAAAATTTTATTATTTATGAAAATAATTGAATTCTTGCAACGAATTTTATAATAATTTTTGTAAATAATTTAATTTTTTTTTTTTGAAAAATTTTATGGAAATTAAATTTTTTATAAAACATGAAGATATCAAGCACTCCGAGTCTTCGACTCGGAGTAATTGATATCTTCATATTTTATATTAATATTCTTATAAGTTGTTTAATTTTAAAAATGTTTGAAGAATTTTAATTCCTATGGAAAAATAATAATTAAATACTTATTTAAAAATTTAGTTATTGATGTTTGTGAATAATTTTACAATTTAAGAAATTCGTATGTAAATGTAATAGAATGTTTTTTTTGAGTATCTAATATTTTTTAGAGTGAATCAGAGTATTCTTTATGGTCAAGGAAAAAGTAAAAATTTTGTCTGGAAATCAGGGAAATTTTTTTTTTTTTTTTTTTTGTCTGGAAATCAGGGAAAAATAAAATTAAATATTTGTGGCAACCCTGCATTTTTTAAAATCTATACGATCCTAGAAACCTTGAAAAAACCGGGAAATAGACGTGAATTTTATTCACGAGTTTTGGTGGCCACCCTGTAAATTACAGTTACTTTTTTTAACTAATTGTATAAGTAATGAGTTCGACGCCTGCAAAATCAATGAATTTTGAAATATTTTAAGCTCAATTACCTGTTGACTTGAGAAAGATAAATATTTGTGAAGATACTGGTGTATTAGAGTTTGATGGGAAATGCCTCTCGGTGTAGGTACTAACATGTCAAACCATGTGTCAAACATGAAAACCACTATAGAAACCAGTACTGAAACGCAAACACACGCACACGCTCCTAGATTAGTGAACAATTTCAGAATATTAATTAATATGTACTCTCACATCATCCTCTACGTGTAATTACATGGATAATTTTGGGAAAGTGTCGTCTCTTAAATTTCAAAATTATTTATCTAATATGATTAATTATCATTCAATTCTGTACTGTAATTTATTTAATGTACTTTAATACTTGAAAACAAATTCTTTTTATTTAAATTTTTGGAAAATGTCAGAAAATGTTAGAAAATATTCCATTGTGCATTGATTGCATTGATTTTTTGAAAGAAGGAAAGTTACCTGGAGTTGGAGAAGAAGTTAATAAAATATTTCTTCAATTTTTATTTTACTTGCTACATATTGTATTCTGACATTTTGTCCGCTTTTTCCATGAATATATTTAAGCATTGTGCGCCTATAAGTGAATATGTATTGAGTTTCTTGGCATATCAAATTTCAAGTGAATATCTTGTTTCTAAAAACTATTCAAATACTGCAGATGGTGCATTTTAAAAATTATTCTCATCTCGTACTCGTGTATAAAAGAAAAAAAAAATTGTCACGTTAAGAAATTTTCACCTCGAAATTTGTTATATATGGTAAATTTTTTTATTCATTGTTTTCCATTTTTTACTTGCAGGTATCTGGACAGATACGAAAAAGTACATTTCCTAGGTGAAGATGGACAACAAGCAGATGATGACGATGAAGATTCAAGGCACCGAAAGTGGTCGGCTCGATCACTGCATTCAGTTCCTTTAACTTATAATCATCATCAACATAATGTCACAGGTAAGTTGGATTAATTATTATTTCAATTAATTAATTAATTTATTAATTTTTTTAATTATTATTTATTTTTTTTTTATTTTTTTTTTATTTTTTATTATTTTTTTTATTTTTTTTAATTATTATTATTTTATTATTTTATTTTTATTTTATTAATTATTATTATTATTATTATTATTATTATTATTATTAGTTTTGTTAATTACTAGTGACAAAAATTAAATTTGACAATTAAAAAAAAATCGTTTCAATCGATTCACAAAAAGATTCACAATTCAGTATTTCCTACTTTTGGAATATAATAAATAATTAATTTTTTATGTTAAATATTTAAATATTATTATACAGTTTTGTAAAAATCAAATATTTCAAAGACAAACTCGTTACCTTCAAAACTTTCTTAATAAAATATATATTAAAAAATTTAACTGATTTCGAAAAAATTTAAATAAAAATTTTTCAAAAAAATAACTTTTTTTTAGAATTTTTAATTCAATTATTTGAATGTTAAATTTTTGAAAATTTTAAATTGAAACCTTTTGAAATTCAAATTTTAATCGAATTTCTATCGAAAACTTGTAAAAATACACCACCAATCTTACTTTCAATATTAATAAAGTCAAAAACTGTAAAATTTAAATACCAACTTTTTTCGACAAAAACTACATTTTAAACAATTAACGCATAAAATTTATTTATAATTTTCTTTTTTTACTTTTTCTCTTAACTACAACTTTTTAAAATTAAATTATTTCCTTTTGTTAAACTTTATCTGTTATAATTATTGATATTTTTCATCTTTTTCTGTAGTCCGCAATTTTCTTTAAATGTTTAATGAAAATTTTTATTACAACGCTACTTTGTTTTAAAATTTCATGAATTTTACGATATACGAAGTAAATTTCAGAAAAAAATTAGTTTGGGTCTTGGAAAAATTCCCTTACAAAAAAAAAATTAACATTTAATATTAAAAATTGTTATTTCCAGAATAATTTTTACTATTTTCAAAGACAATTTTTTCTATAAAGATTAGAAAAATTTACTTTAAAAATATCTACAGAAAATTTTCTCAAAAATAATTTTTAATAACTAATTGTAATTTCAGGCTTCGCACTCGATAATTACTTTTAAAAATGTAGCAAAAAGTAGCTTTAAGACTAAAAAAAAGTAGTAAAAAGTAGCTATCGAAAAATTAAATTTGACGATTAAAAAAAAACTCGATTCAATCGATTCACAAAAATTTTGTCCCTGACTTTTGAAAAATAATAAATAATTAATTTTTTATCATAAATATTTCAATATTATTACAGTTTTACAAGAATGAAAATTATCAAAGGCAAACCATTCTAAAACTATTTTGAAATTTAATTATTTATATAAATTCATTATTATAATGCTTCTAATATTCAATTTTTATCTAAAATTTTTTCTTAAATTCATTTTTAATTCAATTCTTAGAAAGTTCCAAGAGAATTAAATTATTTAAATACAAAAATAATTGACTTCTTTTGTAAAAATTTATTAAAATAGGAGATATTGAAAATAATTGAATTTTAGCGAAGAATTTCATTATTTGGGAAAATAATTGAATTTTTGCAAAAAAAAAAAATTTTTTAATTTTAAAAAATATTGTATTTTTGAGAATAATTTATTTATTTCAATTATTAGCGGAATTAAAGTAGTTTAACTTTAAAAATTTTAACTGAAATTCATTTTTAAATAAATTCTCGTTAAAAAGTTGTACGAATATTTAATTATTAAAATTCACAAATAAATAATGGATTAAATAATTCATTATTTCTTAAAATTGAATTTCTATATAGTATTTCATCAAAATTTTTCGTAAGAATTCAATTATTTTCAAAAATATCAGAATTTTAGCAGAAATTCAAACATTTTAAAAAGTTTTGATAAAACTTTTTTTTGGTAGAAATTCAATTATTTTTAAGACAACTTGAAAAAAATGTCTCGATAAAATTCAATTATTTTTAAAATTTTAATGAGATTTATTCGAAAGAATTCAATTATTATAATCTAGGATTTTAACTGAAATCTATTTTTAAATCAATGTTTATGAGAAAATTCTAACAGAATTCAATTATTTAAATACAAATAAAATACAAATAAATAATTTATTGAAAATTATTTTTTGAAAATACTTAAAAGTTTTTCTAGAATTCTATTAAATTTTTTTTTAATTAATTAAATTCTTTTGGTAAATTTTATGAAAATAGTAGATATTGAACAATTATATATAATAATCGTCGTGATTCCAGATTTCCGGATCTCTGTCCACACTTGAAGTTAGTTATGGTTATTCTTTTGTTTTTTATACGTTTGTTTTGAAAATTAATTTTTGTGGGTTAAGTATTGGCATTTTTTATATTTTTAAATGTCAAATTTTTCAATGTTCATGTTATTATTGTTAAGTGCTGCCAGATTGGAAGAAATATAGTAAAAACTTGAAGTTTGTTTGAAAATGTTGTGAAGGCTGTATATATATCAAGTAATTATGAAAATATTTATAAACATTTAAATAATATAAATAAACCATTTTTTAAAGATAAATTATAATTTTTGTTCTTTACGTTTTTATGATTATAATAATAAATGTAATAATTATTAATTACTAAAGTAATTGTTACTGTTCCATTTATTATTTTGCAAATCAAAAAATATGTTATATTTTCAAATATAAATATTAATTTTTTAATTTCAGATTAACTACATAATTAACTATTCTTGTTTATTATTTTCAAAAATGTTAATAACAGTTTTCGAAAGAATTTAATTATTTAAAAAAAATTTTTTATAAAAATCAAATGACTAATTATTTACAAATTTTTCAATAAAAACTTTGCAAGATTTTAGTCATGTTCAGTGCATTAATTTTTAAAATTAAAAACATTGAAAACTTTTACTTTCAAATTGCGAACAGATTCAAACACAGCAATATTAATTTATTTCTTTATAATTCTTTGTGAAATTTAATTTCATTTATCATATTCTAGAAAAAATCATAACCAAAATCTGAAGAAATTTTTTTGATTAATTTAAAGATTTCTGAAGATAAATAAGAAAATTCTGAAGATTTGTCGTTTCAATCATCTGGCAGTACTGTTATAGTGTTTGATTCAATTTTTAGCTTTACAACTATCATTTACTCTAAAGGTAAATACTTTTCTATAATTTAATGTTAACATTATTTCAATATATTGAAAAAAGTTATTTGATATAATTTACATTCAATTGAATTTTATTTTTATAAATTTCTTAATGCAGAATATTTAGTTTTTTAACTTTTTAATAAATTTTTAACTTGCAAAACTCTAAATAATGTAATTGTTAAAAATATAATATTTATTTTTCATAATTTAAAATTATTAATTATTGTCATAATAATTTAAAATAATTACTATATTATTAAAGACTACAACATAAATTTAAATTATCAAAGTATATTTTATAAAATAGTAATTTAATACAAGTTTTATATTTATATTTTTTATTACATAAAAATATTGTCTAATGTCATGTTTATTTTATGAACTTTTAACGTGTCTTAATTTTCATATGTTTTTAATTAATACGTGATTTATAGAATATTCAACAAATCAATGAAAATATATTGTCTATTTTTTCAATTAAAAATATATTACATCAAATATCTATTCCCAATATTTAAATAATGTTAACATTAAATTATGGACACATACCTGCCGAGTAAATAATAATTATAAAGTTAAAAATTCAATTAAACAACCAATATATAGAATTAAAATGTAGGGGCTATCATACGCCTAAAATTTATCTGAAATTTTTTTTTCTTTGTTTCTAAAAACGAATTTAGAATATTTTTTTTATGCTTCATTATAATATTATATTACATCTTGTAATTAAATAATTAATGCAAGTTATAGTTTGTATTTATACTATAGATATTTTGTTTTCCAAAGAAATTAGAATTAAAAGTTGTTAACTTTATTATTTTTCTATTAATTTAATTTTTTGCAGTTATGGTAGTTTCAAAAGATACGGAATTTTTTGTTTAAAAAGCTAAATGAATAATTATTTTTTTAATTTTTGGAATAATTAAAATTTTCGTAATCAAAATTATTTTGAAAATAAAAGTATAAAATATGTAACAATTTTTGCGAGATTCAATTTTCTTCGTACAACATGAAAGTTTAACAGCAGTAATAGTATTTTAACAAAATTTATAGGATTCACTTAAAATTCGTTTCTAATACGTTAAATATGACATTAAAATTTAGAAATTCAAAATAGAACTTCCATTTGTCTGACTTTCTTCTAATTTATCGGACTCAGTGATTTCTGGGGTGAATTTGGTAAAGTTCTAAAATGATTAATTTCTATGTTGAATTCGTTATTTTGAATTTAGAAAATCTGATGTTAATTTAATTATTTTTTCGTTATGCACGACAAAAAACATTTACCTGGATAAACTACAGATTTCACTTTATTAGCGAAATTTTTCAGTGCTTCAATTAATACTTTAAAAAGTATATTTAAATTAAAATGGCTTTATATTGTTTAAAATAAGCAATGTAAAAGATAAAATTTGCTCAAAAAATAATTTTTCACCTCCTGCTGGTTACCGGCTGTGGCTATTTTTTTATTAATTGTGAATTAAATTAATTTTTATGACCCAGATACTAATTGGAATTTTTCTAGCATGGTGGCCACTAAAAACAGTAAAAAAATTTCCCTGACTTTTTCCCGACTTTCCCTGACCAATATTCTGGGTGTTTTTAACTTGGTTTCTAATGAACAATAATTTAAATAAGAAATATATCTCTCAAATTATTATTAATAACTACTATTCATTTCAAACAGTTGAGAAGGATGTTTTAAGGATTTTTGAATCAATTTGTAGAAGTAGATAAAATTCTTTATTTTTAAAATTAAATCTTTAATCTTAAAGTAGCTGAGACTGCGGCTAAAACTTAAATTTTGAAAAGATGTTTTTTAGTCAATAAATC